GTTGGTTCCGACTCATAGCGAGCCTGTATAGGGATTCTGAGGCTGTAAATCGTTATAGGAACAGAAAGCCTCATCTTTCTCCCACAGAACAGCTTGTAGTTTAGAATTGCTGACCCTGAGGTTAGCAGCCTGATTTGTAACCACTACGCTACCAGAGCTCCTTGGATAGTGTATGAGATTTCTATATTGAGTTAACTTTAGGTGCTTTTAGGAAATGGAACTGCAATTTCCAATTGTACTCATCTTTAGTCTGGAATCCAGTTACATATGAGTCACATGTGCCTTAGATTAGAGATCTTTTCTTACTTGTGCGGTTTATAACACAATTATGTTGCACAACTTAGGAGTTGAATAACTATTTGAAATATTAGTTGAAAAAAATATCACCATTTAAAATTTTTTTTTAATTTATGAAGCATTCATAGAGGTCTTCCAGTTTAGGCATGCTATTTTCTAAATTATAAAATAGTTAAGTAAGTGATTTGTTTGCTATCATAGCAAACTAAGCATGGATGAACTGTAAAATGTGGATTAAAATCATGTATTTGGATTTTTAGTGCAACTTTTGTTTGGTTATATATACCCAATTTGTTGTTCATATTAGGACAGTATTATAGCAACGACAGTATCATATAGCTCATATATTAGGAATTTCCTTAGGACGGCACACTTTCAAGATAAATTTGCCATCTGTAATCACTTTTTAAGAGCTAAGAACATGCAGATGAATCACATGCTGATGCACAATTATCGTCACTCTAAAAATAATTTTGTTATATTTAATTTTTATTTTTGTGCTTTAAATTTCATAGCACATAACTTAGATTATTGTGTATACTAATTAAAATTGGTGAGTACAGTTTTTTAAATAGAAGAATTTACCCAATTTTTTTTTATCATGACTGTTGTTGTTGCTAAGTGTCATTGAGTCGGTTCCGACTTAATCACAACCCTATATAGGGTTTCCAAGGAGCGGCTGGTGAGTTTGAACCGTGAATATCCTTGGACTTAATTGTCCCATACCTTTGTGGTGGCTTCCTCAGCTAATTGATCTGTGAAATGATGGAGTAGGGATTTATGAATAAATAAAAAATAGTGCATACTGGTGTTAGGCACAATTAAATGTGACCTGGAACAAGACTGGCCATGGGTATTTTTATAAAGGGTGTGCTTTTTGACATTTTAAAAGGACATAATGAATAATAAAGAATTCTCAGGAGTATCACATAAACATTTAACCTATTTTAGTACCTAGTTTCATTATGCCGCTACTTATCTGTCAGTTTGTACTGCTGTGGTGGTGTGTGTGTTTTTGTGGTGCTGGGGGCTATGGCACTAATATTTTAAATACTAGCAGTGTCACCCATGTGGACAAGTCAGTGCAGCTTCCAAACTAAAACAGACTAAGAAGGAAAGCAGACCACTTCTAAATGGTTAGCCATTGGAAATGTTAAGAATAGCCGCAGAAAACTGTCAGATACAGTTCCAGTAGATGCTCTCCCAGGTTGGAAAGCACTCCAAATATGACTAACGAAAAGCCAAAACAAGACTCAACATTAATGACATGAATGGAGCCATCCTTTTAGGACCTTCAGTTTTTGATGGGACCCAACTGAAACTGAGAAGAAATAGAGGCAAACATCATCATAATCATGTAAGAGGAACGGCATCACATTCATCCTTAGAAAGAGCACTTCAAGATCTACAATGCTGTCTGTGATAGGAATAATATCCATATGCCTCCAGCGAAGAGGAGTTCATACCACTATTCAAATTTATACACCAACCACTAAAGCCAGTGATGATGAAACTGAGGAACTCAACCAACTTCTTCAGTCTGAAACTGGTGAATTGATAATTCCTAATGATTGTAATGTGAACATAGGAGACACACAGAAGGGTCAGTAGTTGGCAATTTTGTCCTTAGTGATAGAAATGATACTAAAAATTGCATGATAAAATTTTGCAAGCCCAATGACTTACCATTGCAAATACCTTTTTAAAACAATATAAAATGTGATTACACACATGGACCTCACCAGATGGAATACAGAGGAAAGAACGTGACTACATCTGTGGGAAGAGAAGTTGGAGAAACTATCATTAGCCAAAATAAAGCGAGGGGCCAACTGTAATAGACCATTAATGTTCATATGCAAATTCAAGCTGAAGCTGAGGAAAATGAAACCAAGTCCATGAGAGCCAAAAATATGATCTTGAATATATGCCACCTGTATTTAAAAAAAGAGCATCTAAAGAACAGATTTGATGTATTAGACACTAATGACTGAAGACCAGAAGAGTTGTGGGATCACATCAAAAACACTATAGAGGAAGAAAGCAAAAAGTCATTTAAAAGACAAGAAAGAAAGAAAAGACCTAAATGGATGTTAGGAGAGACTCTGAAACTTGCTCTTGAGCATAGGAAACCTAAAGAAACTAGAAAAATGGGGAAAGAACTGAACAGAAAACTTCAAAGGGCAGCTAGAGAAGAGACAGTCAAGTGTTACCATGAATGTGCAAAGACCTGGACTGAAAGATCAGTTTGAACTGCAATATTGGTGATTCAAACTTACCAGTCACTCCTTGAAAATGGTATACAGGGTTGCTATGAGTTGGAACCATCTCACGGGCACTTAACAACAACAGTGAGAACCAAATTATGACCTTGAGTATATCCCACCTGAATTTAGAGACCATCTCATGAACAGATAGATTTAATACATTAGACATTACTGCAAAATACCCAGAAGATTTGTGGAATGACATCAAGAACGTCATACAGGAAGACAGCAAAAGGTCATTTAAAAGACAGGCAAGAAAAAAAAAGACTAAACTGAATGTCAGAAGAGAATCTGACATTGGCTGGTGAACAGACAACCTAAAGCAATAGGAAGAATTGATGAAGTAAAACATCTAAACAGAAAGTTTCTAGGGGCAGCTCAAAGAGACAAAGTCAAATATTATAATGAAATGTACAAAGACCTAGAATTAGAAAAGCAAAAGAGAAAAAACAAGCTCAGCATTTTCCAAGGTGTAAGAACTGAAGAAAAAATCAAAGCCTTGAGTGGCAATATTGAAGGAGTCTCTGAGCAAACTATTGAATGAAACAGAATCATGGAAAGAAACTGGAATGAAATGGAACTTTACCCCAAAGAATTTGTTGATGGTCAACCTTTTCAGGAGGTAGCATATAATCAAGAACCAACTGAAGGAAGAAGTCCAAGCTGCATTGAAGACAATGGAAAAAACAAGACCCCAGAAATTGATAGAAAACAGATCTAATGGTTTTTAATAAATTGATGGAAGCACTGGAGGCAGTCACTCATCTTTGTCGAAAAATTTAGAAGACAGCTACCTGTCCAACTGATTGAAAAAGATCAATATTTGTGCCCATCCCAAAGAAAGGAGACCCAATAGAATGTGAACATCATTGAACAATATCAGTAATATGACCTGCAAGTAAAACTTTGCTAAAGAGAATTAAAAAATGTTTGCAGTAGTGCATTGATGGAGTCCTAGTGTGGCACTTTAGGATAAGCACTGGACCGCAAGGTCGCTTTGAACTGCTAGGTCGGTGGTTCAAACTCACCAGCTGTTTGTCAAAAGTCCTATATAAGCTTGCTATCTATGAGTCTATTTGTGAGTCAGAACCAACTTTATGGCACTTAACAACAATATGTACATTGACTGGGAGGTGCTAGAAATTGAGACCGTATTCAGAAGAGATCATGGAACTGAGAATTTCATTGCTGATGGATCTTGGCTGGAAGCAGTAAGTAGCAGAAAGATGCTTTACTTGTGCTTTATTGATGATGCACACATAGACCACAATTTTAACTGCTTTCATCTTAGTAAAAATTTGAAATTTACATGTTATGTTTGTCTTTCTAACTGATTGCAAATACATGAACAGAAAGGATGCTGATACTCAATCTTTCATGTTTTTCACCTCTGAAAGTAATTTTATCTTACTGAATGAATAGTGACGTTGTTTGTATTGTAATATCTATAGAACGATTTCTCCTAGCTGAGGGTAGAGAGATCCAGGCTAAATGAGGCTTTTGGTGTTAAAAAAGGTAATTAGATTCAATTTATCATGGTTTTTTTGCTCCATTTTTACATGTATCCTGAGCACAATATCCTGCCTTAAAAATACATCTATATTTTAAGCTTTTATTCAAGCTATTTTTAGTACTGATATTATTAATATGTTAGATAATCTTTAATAGGACAAGAGATGTATTGGTGGTGGTGGTTATGTGCCATGGAGTCGGTTCTGACTCAATAGCAACCCTGTACAGGGTTTCCGAGGCTGTAAATCTTTAGGGGAACAGAAAGCCTCATCTTTCTCCTGTGGAACAGCTAGTAGTTTCGAACTGCTGACCTTGTGGTTCACAGCCCAATTTGTAACCACTACACTACCAGAGTTCTTTAGAATGTATTTAATTCTATTCTTAATTTAAAAATTTACTAGCTTATTTTAATTACAGGAAAATACAAGAGGATATTTTAAGAAAAGATATTTGTTTAACCAACATTATTTATTGCTCAGGAGGGGATTGGCTTGGGAGTTTGAGAGCAAAATTACCTTGAACCTTTATCTTGATAATTTATGAAGCTCTTTATTCCTTGATGATTAAATTTAGAATATTATTTACTGTTTTCACTCTTAATAAGAAAATCGTGACAAGTATTTAATAAAGTCCATCAAATGTTTTAAGTTATGTAACCAGTCAGTTAGGAGTAACAGTCACAGTCTTTTTAAAATTAATCTTTTAAAATTATTTTATCATTTAGAAAAAATAAATTAGCATTTCTGAAAGTTACCTAAGTGGTACTGTATTGCACAAATAGCTTTACCTGAATTTATATGTTTCATCCTGAAGAAGAAAACAGTGTTAGAAACTAATGTATCTCTTTTGCTATTTTAAGAATGCTGATTTGTCAGAGTGGCAATATATGACTTTCTTACCTTTACCATAATTTCACTTTTTTAGTGTATTTTGGGATCTCTACTGTGCAGCTCCAGAAAGACGGGAAACATGCGAACACTCAAGTGAAGCAAAAGCCTTTCATGACTACGTAAGTTTTGTATACTTTTTTATGTTATATTACTGGTTTACTTTTTAAACTACTCCTGAACATTTGTCGGCCCATTTCTTCTTTTGCTTTGGTACTTTGGATACTGGTTTTCCTTTGTTTTCTGAAATATAAAACCATAATTTAAAAAGTGAAGTACAAATAGGTATTTGAATCTTGCTGAAGAAGCTTAGGATAAGAGAGTTGTCATAATTTCAATATATTTACTATTTCTTTAAGCACATTTGATGTGTGAAATTTCAGGTCTATAAAAATTTACTGGTTCTTGGCTTTGTAAAAACATTCATTATAAGATTTCTGTAAATGTTAAACTCTTTATTTGCTCATGATTTTTTTTAATATACAAAAATACTCTATTCTCTTTTGCAAGTTTTGGCTACATATTGTATTGCAGAATGTCCTCTCCCTGAACTTAATTCCATAAATAAGATATATTTTGGACTGAAATCACAAGCAATAATGGAGTAAATTGTTTACCAGATGTTTAATTATTTATTAAACAATTTCATTCTGATTTTATTCGTGTGCAAAATATTTAGGAAATTTTAGAATATATACCACTAAACTTTTAATGCTAGAACAGTGATTATGATTTTATTTCTCTGGTGTAATTGAAGATACTTTAATTATTCTCAAGCAAAGATGGAACCAAAATATATTTTTACAGTAATGTGGTAGTAGCTGAATCACATTATTATGATATACTCTTTGAGAGCAGATTTATATTGATTCTTTCTCAGATTGTGTCAAACAATAGATGTTATTAAATATAACAGAATGCAGTTGTCTGTTAGTTGACATTTATAAAATCTAACTAGGATTGTTCATATGTTCAGATAAAGTGACAGGTTTGAAACATGATTGTTCATAACATGTGGCTGATTTTTCTTGACTTCCTTAAGACAATCTTTATAATATTAAGACAGGGTTGTGTTAACAGTTTTCAGTAATAGGATACTTTTAAAAATGGTACATAAATATTAGTCATATTATGTAAATAATCTATTTTTGCCACCTTATAATTTTATATGTAATAATTTATTATTTTAAGAAAATACTTCCATAGAAACTACCCCAGAGAATTAGGTACTTTCTCTGTTACTAGTCTTAATGTCCTATTATAATGGGATGTTTTCCTTAATAATTTCTGAGCTTCCTCAGCGAAGAGTCTTTGTCCTATTTACGTTTTTCATCCTCTGTGTCTGGGGTGGTGATTGACATGAGATACTCATATCTATATTGGAGTTTGGAGTCTTGGTGTGGCGCTGTGAGTTAATGCACCAGGCTGCAAAGCCATTTGAACTGCAAGATCTGTGCTTCAAGCTCACCAGCTGCTCCTTGGAAACCCTATACAGGGTCGCTATGGGTTGGAATCGACTCTATGGCACTTGACAACAACAACAATATTTGTGTTTATATAAAGTAATGGATTCATCAAATAGCATCTAAAAAGTGTTTGTAATTTCTTATTTCAATATAACAGGATATGCAGTTGCAGAAAGGTCATTTAATGCTATTTTTATTTACTTTATATGTTAATAACAATTTAGATAAGACAGCACCTTGTAAATACTTAACCGGTGAGTCAAAGCTGGTAGCAGAAGGTTCACATCTTCAGATACATGGGCAAGTCAGCAAACAAGACAGATATAGTTCCCAGTCTCATGGGTTTAACATTTACCAAAAGATACTTTTTCTTAGGTGTTTGAAATATCGAAAAGTGAAATACATGTAGAAATAAAGATTCATATTGCTGAATCAATTAAAATTTATAGGTATGTCAGAATATGGAGGAAAGTAAAAATGAATTGTAATGAAGTACATATAACTATCAATGCATGTTTTGAGTCCAATTCATAATGACGCCGTGCATAACAGAATGAAACAATGCCTAGTCCTTCACCATCTCTGAATTCTTGTGTTGGAGCCCATTATTGCTGCCTCTGTGTCAATCAGTTTCCTAGGGGCTCTTTCTCTTTTTTTGCTGACCCTCTACTTTACCAAGCATGTTGTAATTTTCTAGGTATGGATCGCCCTCCTGACAACATGTCCAAGGAGAGACAAAGTCTTGCCATCCTTACTTCTAAGGAGCATTCTGGGTATACTTCTTCCAAGACAGATCTGTTTCTTATTTTGGTAGTCCATTGTACTTTCAGTATTCTTCTCCAGCACCATAATTCAAATGCATAGATTCTTCTATACTCTTTTTCATTCATTTTCCAACTTTCATAAGCATATGAAACATGAAACAATTGAAATTAACATGGTTTGTGTCAAGTACAAGATAGTCCTCAAACTGTCATCTTTGTTCTTCAACAGCTTAAAAGAGTTTGCTTAATGCAATGCTTCATTTGATTTCTTGACTGTTGATTGTAGATTAAAGCAAAATGAAGTCTTTGACAACTTCAATCTTTTCTCCATTTATTATGATGCTATTTATTGGTCTAGTGGTGGAAATTTTTGTTTTCTTTACATTAAGGTGCAACCCACACTAAAGACTGTGTAGCCTTTGATCTTCATCAGTAAGTATTTTAAGTCCTTGTCACTTTGAGCAAGCAAGGTTGTATCACCTTCATATTGCAGATATGGTCAAAGGTAGTAAGGACTATCTCATGAGAATTTTGTTAGGAAATCTTACCCATCCTTCCTATAGCTCTGAACTTGTCCATTTAGACATCTCTTTGTTACCCAAACTCAAAGAACATTTATAAGGAATGCGATTTGATTATCTCAAGGATGCCCAAACTGTAATTTTGATGTGGTTAAATCAAACAGTGCATAATGCTCTAGGGAAAGGTCCGTGAGATAGACATACTGCTTTCAGAAGTGTAGAGACCTAGATGGGGGATTATATTAAGAAATAATAGTTTCATATTTTGACTTTTGTTTTAATAAAGGTTTTTATGGTTTTGCTGCAGTTCTTTTTCTCTTACCTTTGTGTATGTGTATGTATATTGCAGTTTATATAAACTTTTGTAATCTACAAGTAGCACTGTTAGGAGATTTGTTTTTAGTCTTGTTCTAGTCTATGATATGGTTTCTGTGATTGTTTTCATGTTTTTAGGATCCAATTTTAATTTTTTTGGCCTTACACAAATCTTAGGAGCTCTGGTAGCGTAGTGGTTACAAATCGGGCTGCGAACCTTAAGGTCAGCGGTTCGAAACTACCAGCCGCTCCTCGGGAGAAAGATGAGGCTTTCTACTCCTGTAAAGATTTACACCCTCGGAAACCCTGTACAGGGTCGCTATGGGTCGGAACCAACTCGATGGCACTTAACAACAACAACAACAACACAAATCTTATAAATGACCTTAAATTCACTCTAGCATGTAATTTGCTTGATTTTTGCTTATTTGTTGTGTGTGTGTGTGTGTGTGTGTGTGTGTAAACTGTTTATTTTAAGTTTGTTCACCTACCTTGCCTATCTGTAGGGCCTGTGTGGCTGTATTCCCAATTTGTCTTTTGGGCCCAGGATTTCTTTATGGGGAGTTTCTAAGTATGACTTAATGACTGTATCATCTACTTTGTCCTATTTTTTTTAATTCTGAGATTTTCTGTAAGGAATTTTGTCATTCGAAGGGAAACATGAATAAAGGGTGATAATCAAGGAAATTGTGAAGCACTTAATATTTAAGAAAATAGTTTTTTAAAAAGCAAGTGTATAGATGTTTTGTAGCAAGGAGGGGAGTGATTAACTTTGTAATCTAGGAGTGGAGATCTCTGGGACCATGAAGGGAGAAGAGCAGAGAGCAGGACCCTACCCAGAGAAACAGTGATGCCTGAGATGGAGGCAGAGATGACATGGAGCGATGGAGCAGCTGGGGACTTTAGATCCAGAGAGGGAGAGGGGCTGTGTGCTGATGACCAGGGTCGGGGGAGGGGGCAGGCTTGTAGGATATACCCTTTGGTTGGTTGATGATGCTTGGAGGGGATTGTAACCATGGCAATGATAGGACGATAGGATGAATGTAAAAGTAACTAACGTTCTCCCATGTAAACTATCACATAATTCACAAGAAAACACTTTAAAAAAAAAAAAAAAGCAAGTGTAATCTACTGCCAATGAGTCAATTCTGACGCATAGAGATCGTAGGTAGGACACATCTTTTCCAGAGCAGACAGCCTCGTCTCTCTCCCATGGAGCAGCCAGTGGGTTTGAACTTTGTGATTAGCAGCCCAGTGCCTAACACTCAGTGTCACCAGGGCTCATTGCACTTAATATTTGTTGTTGTTGTTCTCAGGTGCCATTGAGTTGGTACCGACTCATAGTGACTCTGCACATCAAACAAAACACTGCCCAGTACTGGGCCTGCCTCACAATTGTTGTCACGCTTGAGCCCCTTGATGCTGCCACTTTCCCAATCCATCTTGCTGGGGGTCTGCCTCTTTTTCTTTGAGCCTCAACCTTCCCAAACATGATATCCTTCTCCAGAGACTGGTCCTTCCTGACCATATGTCCAAATTAACATTGTTGTTGTTAAGTGCCGTTGAGTCGGTTCCAACCCATAGTGACCCTGTAGAGGGTTTCTGAGGAGCAGCTGGTGAGCTTGAACTACTGACCTAGCAGTTCAAATGGCTTTGCAGTCTGGCGCTCTAACACACAGCGCCACACCAGGACTCCATTAGAGATGTAAAATTAAAAAGCTTTGAAGTCATTAAAAATAAGTTGTTTTTGAGAATTTTAAAAGGTGAAGTTGATGTGTATCTAAATATTTGTAATAAAGATTTTTTTTTGGTGTTATTTATATAGCTACTTGGCTTATTTTTATATTTTATTCAACTTCATTTTAAGTTGTTGTTGTTAAGTGCTGCTGAGTCGGTTCTGACCCATAGTGACCCTGTATAGGGTTTCTGAGGATCAGCTGGTGAGCTTGAACCACCTACCTTGCAGTTCAACTGACTTTACAGTCTGGCGCATTAATCCACAGCGCCACACCAGGACTCCATTTTAAGTTATGACATTTGGGTAATTAAAAAAATG